TGCTGAGACCTTCCCCCACAGAGCTGGCAGGTAGGTGGGCACCACAACTGAGTTTCTATCCAGCTGGCTAACACTGTTAGCCCCACCCTGGTGATTCCCTGAGACACTGCCACACCCAACATGTGGGCTCACCGAAGCCCTTTCCAGTGGCTCTCCCATAAAAACACCCTATCTTAGCTCATGCTTCAGATTTTCCTAAAATCTCTCAAAGGCTCACAAACCCCAAACAAGCAGCATCGGGCCTCAGCATGCCCTGTACCTCTTGCTAACTGGCCTTAGGCCTGGCACTAATGGTAGCTGGCCTCAGTTTGCAGCTTGGCCTTTCCTAGGTACCTCCAGCCCAGCACAAGTAGCAGCTACTTGCAGATTACTTTGTAACTCATGCCGAGTGGCCCCAGGCAGGGCACAGACAGAAGCTGATCTTGGTCTGCAGTTCCAGGGAGGCCCCAGAGCGAGTATAGCCAGTGGCCAGCTTCAGACCACGCCAGGGAACCCCCTAACCACCTCAACGAGAGACACGTTCAGGATGCAGACTCATTGGGCATCAGAGCCCCACTGAAGTGAGTCCTGGTCTGTGGGGTTTGCCCCTGCAGAGCATATCCTCCACTGTGTTTTCAGCCAGTCCTCACAGCCAATTGGCTCGAGAGTAAATCTTCCTATTGACATTCCAAGAGCAACCAAGATTCAACTACAACAGGAGGGTGCACACAGTCCACATGGGGCACACCTGGAGGACCCAGCTTGGGTAACGGGGGAGGCTGCACCAACTGGGCCCCACAGGACACCTACTACATTAGGTCTCACTATTAAGACCAAGTGACATACAGCTCTACATAATTCATAGGAACAAACACAGAATGGAGTCAAAATGAGAAGACAAAGAAACATGTCTCAGTTGAAGAAGCAGAACAAAATTCCACAAAAGTACTAATCAAAACAAAGACAAGCAATCTACCAGATGTAGAGTTCAAAACATTGGTTATAAGGATGCTCAATGATTTCAGTGAGAACTTCAGCAAAGAGGAAACAAAAAAAATGGAGATAGAAAGCATAAAGAATTGATCAGAAATGAAGAATACATTATAGGAAATTAATAGTAGAGCAGACAAAGCCAAGGGTCAAATCAGTGATTTGGAAGATAAGGAAGCAGAAAATACCCAACTAGAATAGTAAAAAGAAAAAAAAAATCCCCCCCCAAATGAGGACAGTGTAAGGGGCTCTGGGACAACTGCAAGCAAACTAACGTTTGCATCATGGGGGTGCCGGAAGGAGAAAAGAAAGAGCAGGGGATTAAAAACCTATTTGAAAAAAATAATGATAAAAAATTCCCTAGCCTGGTGAAGGAAACAGAGAAGTCCAGGAAATACAGAGATTCAAAACAAGATGAACCCAAAGAGGCCCACACCAAGATCCATCATCATTAAAATGCCAAGGGTTAAAAACAAAGAGTTAATCTTAAAGCAGAAAGAAAAGCAGTTAGTTACCAACAAGGAAGTTTCCAAAGACTGTTAGCTGATTTCTTAACAGAAACTTAGCGGGCCTCCCTGTATGTCCCTTATACCACTTTCAAGCTGCAGCCCGAGCACTGGAGCTCAGAGCCAGTGAGTCTGTCTGTGTAAAATATTCAGAGTGATGAAAAACAAGGACCTAACAACCAAGATTACTCAACCAAGTAAAGTTATCACTTAGAATTGAAGGCTAGACAAGAAAAAGTGAAAGGAGTTCATCACCACCAAACCTTATTTAAAAATGTTGAAGGGTCTTCTTTAAGAAGAAGAAAAAAAGAATAAAAAATATGAATAATAAAACAGCAATAAATACATATCTATTAACAATTACTTTAAATACAAATGGAGTAAATGCTCCAATCAACTGAATGGATAGCAAGATAAGACCCTTACATATGCTGTCTACAAGAGACTCAGTTCAGATTGAAAGACACACACAGACCAAAAGTAAAGGGATGGAAAAAGATATTTCATTAAAATGAAAAAAAAAAAAAAAGAAGAAGCTGGGTAGCAAACTTATACCAGACAAAATACTTTAAAACTAGGACTATAACAAGAGACTAAGAAAGACCAAGCAATTTCACTTTGGGGTATTTAACATTAGAAAACCAAAACAGTAAGTTTAAAAGACTTTTGTACAATTGCCAAGATATAAAAGCAATCTAAGTGTCCATCAGTAGATGGATGGATAAAGAAGTGGTACTTATATACAATGGAATAAGATTCAGCCATCAAAAAAGAAAGAAAGAAATTTTGCATCAGTAACAACATGGATGGACCTAGAGGGTATGTATTGTGCTGAGTGAAATAAGTCAAACAGAGGAAGACAAATGACAGAAGCGTGCCTCTGTTTTTCCCATAAAATAGGATTTATAACAATAGTACCTACTCCCAGAAAGTTCCCAGGAGATGTAAATGTGATTTCAGATAAATAGTACTTTGCATTGTGCCTGTCACACAGCACAAGAGTCTGACAAATGTTTAGGTGCTATTTTTATAAACACCTTTAAATGTGATCCAGGCTCAGTAAACTAAATATATATAGGTGGCTTCTATACACACGCACAACCCCCACCCCTAGAGTTGTTTGTTCTAAGATGAGCCCAAATAAAATAGTGCCACCAAAATATTTAGGTTCATAAGCACATTCCTTAAAATATGACAAATAGAATAAGTATAAAAAAGAACATTCACTTCACTAATACAAAAATGAAAATTACAACAAGATGTTTTCACCCATGACTAGCAAAGATTTTAGAATGATAATGATGTCAGGATTGAGAGATGAAAGGCAGATATTCTCATCAGCAGTAGAAATTGATACACTGCCATTTCCAGTCTTATATATCTTTAGCACTTACTTTCACAGTATCAAAAAAATTGGAAACAATTTTTAATAGCCATCAAGATACGAGTTAAGTAACTTATAGTGCATCAATGAAAGTAAAGCATAGGCAGCTGAAAAAAAATTTCTGAAAACACAGCGGGGGAGCAGGACATATATAAGCTATATAAGTCTTTATGATTTCTTAAGAAAGGTAACAAAAAAAACAGAAAAAGACAAAAAAAGGCAGCAGAAAATTCACTACCCTAGACCAACAGTTTATTTCTAGGTTGTGGGATTCTAGACTATTTTTGTTTTTTCTCCTATAACTTCCTATATTGTGTAAAGTATTCTAAAGTGATATGTATTACTTTTTAAAGTCAGAAAAAATTTTGTAAATCTTATTTTGTCAAAACATGGCTGCCAGGAACAGACTCATTCATTGTTCCACTAAAAATCATGTTACTAATGAGAATCTCATGATCAGCAAACTACAGTCAATGCAAATGCAACAAATCATACTCTGTTAAATAATTTCATGATCTTAAAAAAAGGCAATTTCCTACCCACCTGGGTCTGCCAATAGTGTTCAAGGTCTTCCCTAATATCAGTGAAGACTGACAAGGTCTTGATGCTAAACCAATCATTTGCTTGATATAAAAGGACTCTTGAAATTCTAAGAAAATTTCCACAGGAATTCTAGACACCATTTTCAAAGCGAGAGAAGTGAAATGTCCTGTCACTGTTAGCCCTTTCCTTTCCCTTTTTTTGCCTTTTAGATAAAAATTGAGAACAGCTTTGAAATCATTTCCAGAGTGCCCCATATTGAGAAGAGCCCTTAAAATATAAAACCAGTCATCTCCCTTTCCATTTTTATGTAATCATTTTAGATATACATGCCTTAAACTTCTTAGTAAAAGTAAAATTCATGAACTATACAACAGGCCAATCCACTACAATATTTTACTAGTTGTCACTTTTTTTAAAGGTAGCAGAATGAAATAAATAAATGAAAGCAGTATTATTTACTCCTTACCTTGCATAAATGCTAACTGGCCTTCAATGACTGACTATTTCGGTGCACTACTGGGAGACAAGGAATGACTCTTACATGTTAAAAGTTAAAAGTTTAGACTGTTACCTCAAAACTTCACTAATTTAGTGAATTTCCTTTATCACACTGGGATGCATATACAGTTGACCCTTGCTTACCCAAGGGTTAGGAGAACTGACACCCCCACGCCACATGGTCAAAAATCCACAAGTAACTTCAAACTCCCTGGAAACTTAACTACTAATAGCCTGCTGTTGACAGAAGCCTTACCAATAAAAGTAACAGTTGATTAACACATATTGTATTTTGCATATGTACTATATACTGTGTTCTTACAATAAAGTAAGCTAGAGAATAGAAAATGTTATTAAGAAAATAATAAGGAAGAGAAAATACATTTACCATATTTACCGGGAAAAAAAATTCACATATAAGTGTATTTGCATAGCCTAACCCTGTGTTAAGGGTCAACTGTATGGTTGAGTATAATCATCAGCCAGGATGCAGATTACCTGTTTACTTAGTAGTGACAATTCTACATTGTTGATGCTAAATCTTATGCAGCACCACAATCTGCCCTGAGAAGTTGGCCCGCATGGCTATTACAGCAAAACATGATCAAAGAACACAACTCTCCTGTGGCTACTTTCTAGAAGCTGCAGAATTGCACAGTAAGGATGACAAACATGGTTCAAACTGGGCTTTTCCAAGGATGAACACATATATAAAGAGAAGTTCAAACTGGGAAAATAAAGAGAGGTAGTCTTAATGCTCAAAAGTGCAAAATCCTATCTTAACACTATAATGTAGGCTGTGACCATCTCCTCACCAAATAAAATAATGTGTGTAAATGCTCTGCAAACATTAAAATCAGCATGAGTTTTAGGTATGTTATTATTAGGGCTCCCACTATTCTTTTAAAAAAACTCAGGAACTGCAGCAAATTATGGGGGACAATATACACTTCGAGGAGAATATTAAGATTGTATGTTCTTATTTACAACATTATCACACTTCCTAATATGACTGAAATAGAATATTTCATTAATATTGCCTCCTGGAAATAACAATTTGATCACTAAAACATAAATGAAAAGTAGAAACAAGTACTTACTCACAATACCAAACTGTCCCCAGAACAGAAGTACAGCCAACATGGGGAAAATAATAATAAGAATATTTTCATTTGTAGAAAACCATGAAACTGAGAAGAAAACAAAAAAAATCACAATTAATATGTACTATAATAACTTTAAATCCTGCCAATGTATGGTCAACAATATATTTTATTGTGGAGATGGAAAATAAAAATAATTAATAAAAACTGTGACCTTAAATAAGTACATAAATAATTACACATATAATTTACTTATATAACAAATATTTATGAAACTAAAAATACTAGTTATTTAAGTGTTTCCCACAACATTCTCCCTAAGCTGTGATTTACGGAAGAAGGGAGCATGCCACAGGAGCCGAGAACAAGGCTCCACAGCCACAGCGCCTGGGCTGGAAACCCAGCTCTAACTTGCAGTCCTTGTGACCTTGGACGGTCTTAGCACCCCTCTGTTCTTCAGTTGTTACACCAGTGCAACAGTACCTACACCTCGAAGGACTGTTGTGACTGTTAACAAAGTTAAGATATGAAAAGGGCTTAAATCAAAGCTTGGCACGAAGAATTTACCCTAAAGAAGAGTCAAATCTTCCTGTAAAGACTGACTTAGGGAATGGAAGTGAGGAAGTTGTACATCTGGGAACTCCCACCCCTAACTGTGATTTAAGAACAAGACAGAGGTGGGCCTTAGCTTTCCTGAAATTTACTCTTGAACAGAAAATGTACTCGTAAATAATTTGGCTTTAAATGGCCGTTTACATGCAAAGTAACATGAAGAGCTTTAGGTGTTAAGGAAGCTTCTGTTAGGGGGGTCGCATGTTACCTAAACAGTGAAAATGCAGACACTCATTCTATATAAAGGGAACTGTGATAGTAAGACTTCAAATGAAATTTGTTGAGGACTTTTACAAATTAAGTTTCATTATATCTTATCAACTGTTAAGACCATATTTCTACCTACGAAATTTCTCCTGTAACAATAAAGCCAAGTAAATGCACTGAAAGCATTTCAAAATTGGCCTGTATGGGAGAATATGCCATATGAAGAACACTTCCGAACCCTGCACACTGCAAGCACTGGTGTGGCTCTGAAATTAACTCTTTCCAATACTCCACTATATCAGTGTGTAAGGAATCTTTTTTAAAAGTGGGCTTTTAAACCATAACGCTAGCCACACGTTTCTTGTGTTAAGCTCGTAAATTTAAACTGTCAAATGTTCACATTAATCCCCAGGATATAACAATACTATAAATTTTTATCTCTGAGATATTAGCATCCAGATTCTAGCATTTTGCCCTGTACATAACAGAGACTCAACAGGTTTGCTATTGATGGTTGCAATGGAATAATAGTTTAGTGAGTGAACAGAAGGCAGGCGTGGGTTTTTGTTTTTGTTTTTAATGATCCAATGGTTGCAGATCTCCAAGAGACTGATGTTTTCAGGTACTCTCTGTCAATACCACCTTAATTTCCAACTGAATCACTGAACATCTTCCTATGCCAAAGAAAATCCACTTCAATTCAGCCTAAAATCCTACAGGAAAAAAAATCTGTGAATTATGCTTAGGTTTTCACGTGCCTGAAAAATTTGGTAAAAGCTCTATGATCTAATGGTTATTCTTAACTTATTTTCCTCTACCCACTTTCTCTATTATTTTGTTTGCATTGGTAACATTAACTTCTCAAATATTTACAATTTTTTTTTAAAGATTTTATTTACTTATTTTCAGAGAGAGGGGAAGGGAGGGAAAAAGAGAGGGAGAGAAACAGCAATGTGTGACAGAAACCTTGATTGGTTTGCCTCTCACAAGCCCCCAACCCGGGACCTGGCCCGCGACCCAGGCATGCGCCCTGACTGGGAATCGAAGTGGTGACCTTTCACTTTTCAGGATGATGACCAACTCACGGAGTCATGCCGATCAGGGTTCAAATCCTTACAGTTACTATACAAGGAACTATTATCCTCTCCTTATCCTTGAGAAAACTGAGGCACAGTGAATGTAGGATCACAAATTTGTATTTCCAAAACTGACTCTTGATACCCCTCTCCCCACTCCTCCATCAAACCTTCCCTCCTGGTTTTTGCTATTTCAGTAGTAGTAACTCCATTTCTCCAGTTGCTCAGGCCAAAAATCTTGCAGTTACCCTTGGCTCCTTGGCTTCTCTCACATCCTACCTCTGTTCCAACAGTCAATCCTCTGGGCTCTACTTTCAAAATATAGCCAGTATCTGATCTCTTGTTCATGAAGGGCTGACAATGAAATGTTCCTTCACTGGCCTCTCTCCCTATACAACAGAACAATCTTCAACAACCTTAGGATCTAAATATGAGTGAAAATAAAAGGTATGTTTGACCCTGGCTGGACCACTCATTTTGCACTTGTTACATACACATTGATTGAAAGCCCATCATGGGTATGATATTATTCCAGGTATGTGAGCTATAGCAGGGAACAAGGCAGGTGGGATGACGAGCTTGGGGGAAGTGAGCAGCTGATATCAGACCCCTGGGGGATAGTAAGGAAAGGCCTCTGGGGAGAGGAACTAGATATGAGCCTTGGATGGGAAGGAGCCTGCCATGTGAAAAGAGGGAAGAAGAGACTCCAAAGGAACAGCAACTAAGCAATCAAATGTGTCTAGAACTTAGCAATACAGATGAAATGGGAAGAGTTTGCTGGGGCAAGATCATGTTGGGTCTTAACAGCTTGTTAGGATAGTTTGTATTTTATTCTAAGAGCAATGACTTGTGATTGGAAAGCCTCAGATAAGGAAGAAAAATGACCTGATTTATTTAAAATCTTTAGAAGCCATGTGGAAAATTAATTCTAGAGAAGCAGGACCTCTCAGAAAGTTCCTGCAGCAATCAGGTAGTAGAGCATGGCCCACAAATGCACCCCTGACTTCAGTTTTACTCACCACATTTAAAGATAAACAGGGAATGGTTCCAAAGAAAGGTGGCCAGAATGGGGATCCTGAAACCAGGAGCAATGGCTCAAAGAACTGGGGGTTCTGACCTTAGAGAAGAATAAACTCGGGGGAGAAATCCTACAGCCCTCCTAGTGGGTGAGAAATTGCAGGATTGCAGGCTTTAGCCTGACTTTCAGGAGAACTGGAACTGCCTGATAATAGGAAGTTAATCATGTCAAGAATTTAGGTAAAAATTTTGAATGACCAATTAGCTGGGGCATGATAGAAGTAATTCCTGAATTAGATGGCAAGAATAACTAGGTAACTCCTAATGACTCCAAGCCTCTATGCAGAAATAATAAGTGTAAGAAATATTGCAATGACAGAAGAGGGTGGGATTACAGAACACAAAATATTAGCGTCTAAGTGATTCTTAAGAGAAGCTTATTAGAATCACCTGGCGGTCAAACTGCACATACTCTCCCTTCTCAGCCCCCACCCTAAGATTTTAATATTCCCCATGGTAGGTGTGTGGGGTGGGGAGCGGATGTTATACAAGATTCTCTCAGTTTAAAATCACCACTGCAGACCTCTGATGTAATTTACATGAAGGTGTTCCCTCCCCTCACTGACATGAATATGTTACCTCTCTCTAATCTGTTAAGGTGGGAAGAGTTGGAGGATCATTGAATTGGATGTTCAAGAACCAAATGAGATGATGAGGAGAAACCCAATGTTTTCTATAAAACCACTTATGTGCCCATTAAGCTATTGATTTGGCATGGCAGTACTGTCAGATGGCTTTAACTCTTGTTCCCCAAGGGGAGGAGACAAAATACTTCTCGAAGGTCCCCTTCAGCTCTAAATTTCTATGGCATTTAGAAAATAAATTAAGCTTAAAATGGACTAAGAACAGTATCGAATATTTTTCCACCTCAGGATTAAGAAGAACAAACCAAGGGCACGCTCGCTCTCACTCCACTCAAGCTATGGCTGGTGACTGTGCCCATTCCTCTGCCCCAGTTCCTGGTCAGGCAGAGTGGCTCCCAGAAAGATAACCTTCTTATTAGTGAAAAACCAAGAAAATGATATTAAGAGGGTGTGGTATATGGATGAGTGTTTAATTTTTGCTTCCAAGCCAAAGTATTATAAAAACCAGTGTTTCATCTCTCTTTTCACTCTGTAACTCAAAAAAGTAAAGAGATCACTCCTATCAATTAAGTATGCCTCTCCTTCAAATATATATGGCATACCTCATTTAATTATGCTTATCTTATTGTGTTTTATTGATGTTGTGTTTTTCTACAAATTGAAGGCAAAACCTTCCCCCAGGATAAAGATCACAACTTGCTTTATTGTGATTGTCAATTTATTGGGATGGTCAAGAACCAAACCCTCAATCTCTCCGAGGTATACCAGTACACGGCAAACCTCCACAAACACAAAGAACACCCATTTCCACAAAAGGAGATCACAGTAAAGTTTACAACACTAAAATTCAAGCCAAATTTTTGCTTGATGTTTTAGGACTGTGATGCCTTTTTTAAAAAGATTTTACTTATTTTTAGAGAGAAGGGAGAAAGAGAGGGAGAGAAACATCAATAATGTGTGTTGCTCCTCCAATGCCCCCTACTGGGAACCTGGCCCACAACCCAGGCTTGTGCCCTGACCGGGAATCAAACAGGTGACCCTTTGGTTCTCAGGATGGCACTCAATCCACTGGGCCACACCAGCCAGGGCTATGATAGCTTTTTTTGAGGTATTGACTTGGCTATAGCACCCGTTATTTAATCAAACCCAGAATTCTAAGGTGGTTCCCCAAATCGCCTTTGAATCTCATGCATATGACTGAATGATTAGACCTCTCCTGAAAAGTATATTTAAAAACAAACCCATACAAAACAAAACAAAAAAAAAAACAAACCCTTAGTTCAATTTAGTATTAAACTAATGAAATTTACAATGTAGGAGAGATTGTGGGGCAGAAAAGCCTTCCAAAATTGGATAGACTGCTTTAAGCCATCTCCTGCCCATCCTTCACTGCACACACATCCCTCTCATAACACCCTCACCTCAACAACTCAGTACCTTACATCCCAAAATAAACATCCCAGCAATACAACTAATATTTGCAAAGTACTTCGGTTTACAAAGGACTCGTATACAAGGGGTCTCACTTGATGCTCATTAGACTGTACAATACATAAAAACAGGAATCTATTTTCATCTCCATTTTAGAGATGAGGTAACTTAGACTCAGTGAACTTCTCAAGTTCAATATAGGCAAGTAGTTTAGTTGTACATCAGGGGATATAATCAGATTTCCTGATTCCTAATCTTAAGCAATGTCAAAATATTCCATTAAACAAAACACTCCATTCCCAATCTGGTAATAGATGTTTTATAACTAGAAATGCTAGACGAGTACAAGGCAAATAGTTGATCCAACTGAACTGTCTGATCCCATCTAAAGCAAAGGTTCTCAAAAAAATTGTCTAATCCTGAGACCAGTAATATGTCTAGTGGTTCTAAATAAGAACTTTCAAAATAGAGAGCCAGCATGCACCTATACGTGGTTAAAGTAATCAGCTGGTACAGCAAGGAATAGAAAAGAAAGCAGACTGTTTACTTCAGCTAACTTTACGGCTCAACTCATCAAACCAAGTTTGTGAAGAATGGGCAGAATCATGGTGCTATACCCAAAGCTGAATTCAAATTAATTAAATCCGCCCCCCCCCCCATTCTTGACCAAAATAAAGAACACAACAGCAAGGCTAAGCACAGAAAGCCTCAAGGAAACATTATTATAACCTGATTTGTAATCTCTTGATTCTCCTAATTGATTCTTTCTAGATGGAGCATGGCTGGGACTTGCCAACCCTTGACCAAAGCATAGATAATAAAATTAAAAAAAAAAAAAGGCTAAATAATTTGAAGGAGCCTGGAAAATTAATCACACAAAAGAAAGTACTTCTGACAGCAACAAACAGAAATGCAGAGTAGATGACTCCAGGACTACTCATCCCAACCTTTCTCAGACAAAGACTCTGAGAACCACACAATACACAAATAACAGCAAAGGAGTTTTATTATGAGAAGCAGAAGAACAAATAAAATAAAACTCATAATCTTAAAGCTCCTAAACATTCCATAAATACTTATTATTAATAGCCTAGTTTTTGATTCATAGGAGTTCATAGCCCCATTTTGCCCCATTTCTAATAGCATCAGGTTGCACAAGACAAATAAAAGAAAAGGAAGCTTTTATAGAATTCTTACCCTCACGATACTTCAGTTCTATGATGGTTTCGCCTTCTCTGTTTAATTCTGTTACTTCACAAGTGTAGTTTCCGGGGACAGCATCCCTCTTTTTCATCTCCAAAGAGGCAATGCCCTTTAGTAATGCTCCTGGTACAATTTTTGCACTCTCATAGCCATGGTTGTGTTTGGAAAGTCTTTTATCTCCATCATAGATGAAAATCCAGTCTTTCCCAAATTGCCACTTTACATACATTTCTCTAAGGGCAGTTGCCTCCACATTATTAACAAAACATGGGATGACAACAGTTTCATTGCAAGTGGTGTATTCTACAGATTTGGTTAAATTAAATGTTAGCTGAGCCGAACCTGGAAAAGAAAAACAAATAGTTTCATTTTATTAGTGAATTCTATACTATATCTTAGGTATACTACAAACCCTTAAGCTAAAAGAGCAATGCTTCAATTGTCCACTTAAGTAAGCAGTGCACCTACATACAGAAGACAGGAAAGGTGAAAAAGAGAAAGAAATTATTTTAATATTAACTTGCACAACTGGCAAACAACACTGTAACTTTTCCTTATTCATTCTCAGTGGTACAAAGTACACATTACCATGCATCTTGGGAATAAATTCAGTAACTTGTGTTGGAACATGCAAGTATAGTATTTGGTTTCCAGAGCTTTGAAGTAACCATTACTGCTTGCTCATGCATTGAGAAAAATATTGTCCTTACCATGGGAAATTTTTGAAGAGAAAATCAAGCCAAATATTATACTCAGTCTCAACTTCTATACATGTTCTCAAAATAGAACTTGCTTAACTGATATGAAGTTTATTTTTATGTAGCATTTCCAAGAAATGTGGTGAGATATTATGTACTTTAATATAAGAAGTAAATCAGATAAATCACATCACACTTTCCACTAAGATGAAAAGTCTTAGAAAGCTAAGGAGAAAAAAATATTCGGTGTGGCTATATCCTCATTGCAAAATACAGACAGCAATAGACATTTTGTGTGCAAGTATTATAAAGGATTATATACATTAAAAGGCATTTGCTCACCTACACATTTCATTGAAATTATAGAACAATCATTTCCAAATGTATATTACACATGTTCCTTCCTCTTAGAAACTATAAACCCCTCAAAATAAAGCTAAGAAACAAGTTGAAACCAAGAACAGATACTGCTTATAAATGGGATATATTCTATCTAACTCTTCTCAAAAGGATAAACTACCAGGTGTCATACAAAATGGGGACCGGGAAAGTAAATGCAATCACTAATCTTTCATCTAAAATGTGCAAGACTGTGAAGAAACTGTGATTGTCTTCCACATTTATCAACCATTTATCAATACTTTTATCTAAGTACCTAGTTGGCTTTTCTCTCAAAAAACAAAGCACTAACAAATATAAATAAAATACCAACTTTAATAGTTCATCCTTATGATTTCTTCTATGTAAATTGGGAATAAAAATCAGGGGCATAGGATGTTATTCTAGAAACATATTATTCAATAAATGTTCATTAAATTGAAAGCCAGGATGCATAGTAAAATATGAACTGGACAATGTTCAGGAAGCCTCAGTACAAATCCTATCTGTCACTTTTCAGTATGTGACCTTAAGCGATCACTTCACTTTTCCATGTCTTGGTTTACTCTCTGTAAGTAAGAGGATCAAAAATGAACAAAAGACTACCCCACAAAATTGCGGTGAGCATCAAAGGAGAAAAACATATGGGCAAGTGCCCTCTAAACAATACTGTGCTATAAATATGCAGGGTAATACTATAAAAACTAGGCAAAACAGCATTTTTATGTAATGAATGAGCTACAGGCATTCTCTGAGTGGCAGGTGCAAATTGTTATAAGAGTATTTCTGGGAATCTGCTGTCTGAACCAAGCTTGTGGGCATCCACAGTTCACTTCTTCCCAGTTCTCTGCATTTCTGGCCATCCAAATATTAGGCAGCCCCAGGCAACACCTGGACTGCCAATCGCATTTTTCAAAACTTTGGGGTTCTGAATTATTTCCCCTGAGAAAGAAACTTTGAGAGGGAGGCTATATTCTACAACAAGGTGAGAAAAAAGTGGCTGGCTTTGAGGTTGGAATTAGAAAAGAAAGTGTCAGAAAATATGAAGAACAACTTTTAAATGGACGAAAGGATTTCTGAGTGTTTCTTCAGTGAACTCTGGGCACTGTTTGACAGGTCCTTTGGGAATATCTGATTCTATAGGGGGTGTGCCTTTCAATCTGTTTGAGCTATTTTACAATTTTTTAAATTGTAGAAAACTGATGCTAATGCAAATAATTCATGTTCATAGAGAGACAAATAAACATTGTTTTGCAATTGATTTCCACCTGGTGGAAGGAAGGTTTTTAAAAATTACATTTTATTGCCCTAAGGATATTGACCAATTTACATATATTCACAAATTCATTTCAGCATTCCTGATTGCCTATAAAATTTTTCTTCCAATTTTCTTTAAAAACTAAGATGGTCTTACCATCTTGCTGGCTTGTTTATTAATACATGAAATAAAACCTTTGATATGTGTTCATTTTGTATTTGTTTGAGTCAAGATATTATTTTCTAAAAACGATCCTTTAATAAAAGAAATACAAGTAAAGAGCTCAGTTATCCTAGGAAACTTTTTTTTAGAAGGCTCTAGGTAAATAAAAAGTGGTCAGCAAATACTCCACAATTTCATAACTCTTGATTAGTGAATAAATTTTCTACAGAATATAGTTAAGTACTAATTACCCTGCATTATTTGCTGTAATAAAAAAACTTATAGCTGAAGCAATTTAAATAGAATTAATGTTGTCAATAAAGTTCAAATAAAATTGATCTGGATAACCCAAAACCTGAATAAGGCTTATACTAATAATTAATAGATAAGGATAGTCCAAAAATGTCACTCTACCTGCTGTTAACCACAACTTTATCTTCTCAAAACACTGATTAAAACACTGTCAAGTAGTAAAATTATCTGATCTGGGTTTTCCTTCTTTTGCCTACTGCCTTCTGATGGAAGAGCAAGGTGAAGAAAAGATTTGAAATATGGAGAGCAAATAAGGGAACATAGGTAATTAACATGAATAAGGAAATTCTGAATAATCAAGACATTCCTGTAGCAGTCTATATCACATAGAAAGATATAAATATGACCATCAGTGATGCCAGAGTTACCAATAAATTAAAAACAAAATGGGAAGCTTATTTTATATTAAATGCCCAAAATATTGGACTCTGTTAATACAGATCACCAACCTAAACCATCTCTCATTCTACAGCCCTGAAAACAACCAATATGTAGTTGCAGAGAAGGCTCAATATATGGTCATCACAGTACACAAGTCCAGCTCAGAAACTTAAAAAATGCAGCGAACTACTGAGAATTATCTGGTCTGAAACATTTTGATAGGATGTGTGGATACAAAGATTAAAAAAAATAAAAAGTATGAATTATCTTTTCAAAACTTACAATTCTCACTTGGGGGAATGGTATGTACTTTTTATAACACAAGGTTGTATAAGTGCTATCCTTCCTGTATGAACAAAGTGCTCTGGAAGGGCAGGAGAGTAATCAGTCTTATAGATTTCTAAGAAAGTATGTGTTGCTACCAGGGGAACAGCAGAAAATTGTCATAGTCCCCACCCATTTGGGTGATCTTCAATCTTTTTAAACATGTTCCATGTAAATTTTCTCTCCTTTGTAACAGCTCTTAAATCACTCTCCTTCTGCAGAAGGTTATCCTACGTTCTCCAAAGCAGCCCTCTCTCTCTCCTTTCTTAATTGAAATTGAGTCCTTTCAGATGGGAAGCCAAAAGCTTCGAATACTCCCCACCTATAAATTTACCTGCAACCCACACCTCTCCCCCACCTACACTTCTCTTCAGAAATGAATCTCTTCACCTGAGATCTAGTTTCCATTTCTGCCTCCACATCCATCAATCTCTGCAAGGACTTTCCCTAGTTGATTATCAACCTCCCACATCCCCCCCCCATTCCATTTACATAGATTTTTTAAAAACATTTTTAAAAAATGCTTGAATATTCACCAACTTTTAACAATCTCTCTTATTTGTCTTTCTCTTCCTTAGCATCCTAAAACAATAACCTAAAAACATTTCTTCACTTCCATTTCATTTCTTAAATCTCTACTGCCTAACCACAATTTCTCTACCTCTACTTCACTACAACAGCTCTTGCCAAAGGCACCAATAATTCCTTGTGAAAAATCAAATATGCATGGTTCACTTTCTGTCTTAACTTCTCTACAGTTCTTGAGCCAGTGGGCAACACTTTTCTTGCTCCTGTCCCCTGGTCTCATGATATCTCTGAATTCTGAATTTCTTTGCACTGCTTAGTTTACCCATCCCAGCTTTCTTTCTTTATTGAACACTAGTAATTGAGTCACGATAAATATTAGTGTTCCTAAAGGCTTCATATTCAGTACTGCCTTCCCCTCCCCAATATTCTCTCATACTGATGGAGGGGCTCAAACGTTGGAAAAATCTTAGTTTCAGGTAATAGCTAATAAGCTTAGTAATCAATGTATGTAAAAAGCCATTGTTCCAGGAACTGAGGGTTTGACCCACCTTGACTCCAGGAGACCATAAGCAGTTCCGCCTTTGTGCCGCAGGAGGACTGCAAGCCGTCAAGACGGTGTCTGAGCCATCGTACTCCCGGGTGAGATGTGCACTGCGCGGGGCACAGATGAAGACCACCGTCCGGGGCACGCATGAAAGAATGCTCCAGCTTTAAATCTGATTTACTTTTTCTCTGAATTCCAAACCCCATACCTACACTTTTCTTCTCCTTATAAAAAGGGTCAGTTTAAAATGGATTATAAGACAGTCTCTTAGGGCACAAACCCACTGTCTTCTCAGATCAAAGGCCATCTGAATAAAGCATCTGTAAAGAGTCAATCCCTGCCTCTTCTTATTGGGTCTAGTAGGTGACAGGCAGCACGAATGCCTGCTTTTCCAGTTTCCATACTTCATGATTTTAACTATCTACACACTTAAAATTTTTTTTTAATATGTTTACTGAATTTAGAGAGAGAGAGGAAGTGAGAGTTGAGAGAACAAGAAAGAGGCGTCGATGTGAGAGAGAAATGCCTCCCATATACACCCCACCCAGGGATCAAACCTGCAACCTCGATATGTGCCCTGACTGGGAATTGAACCCCAAACCTTTCGGTGTACTAGATGAGGCACCAACCAACTGAGCTACACTGGCCAGGGCAATTACCTACACATTTTTTATTTAACCAGGTCCCACCTTTTCCTTAAGACCTGGGAAAACCAACTGTCTGATGTGCATTTCTACTTGGACATACTACCTTTACT